AAGGTGAGAGGAAGAGAAAGTAATTGAGGTTCGGTGCAGCCGTCGATACCATGCACTGCTGATGCACTTGCTGCTCGACGGCATTTGCCATCATCTCCTAGACAACTAATCTTCGTGTCGCTGGATGGTTAGCCCTGTCGATGCATTCGCTGACTGTCCGTCCGACGTCTGTATTCCTATTATTACCTAGAACACCTGAACCGACCGGTATTTGGCGACGAGTCTCGCTAGCTGCAACACTTTCTCTTGTCATAGGCTATGAAATTTTGCTACCCATTGGCAGGCCTGACGTTCATCTGTGAAATTTCATACAGATGGGTCCCCTGGTTCCATCAGGTTTCTTTTGTCATTTGAACAACCGATGTCTCATCACAAGGCGACAGTGATATTAGCCATCTTTCTTCTTTAAGCGGCCGGTTGTTTTCGCCTCGATACGAGACAGCCGTTGGGTATGGTGACTTTTGAATTCTATGAGTATCGAACTTCAGGGTCTAGCTTGAACTCAGCTGCCTCCTGATGGTCTTACCGTTTCTTTCTCGCGACTCTGTATCTGAACGTGCATGTCCGTTATCCACAACACTGGTATGCACCAGTTGTGAATGTTCAGCAGCTCGGTGCTCTGTACGCAGGCTGTATCTTAGAGTAAATATAGCCAAGATTTTGGGTCATCGGTCCAGGGTCAGTACCGACTTAAATGTCAGTGGCTAATTTGCGTTCGACCATTCTGTGCATAATACATTACCGATGAGATGGCACCATGCGGCGTGTAGCTTGGCTTCGTGACAGAGTCTGCATCTCAGGTGAAATTTTTCAGCGTTTCATAACTGACATTTGAACAGGTGGCAGCTTTGCCCATTACGTATGCTAGCTTATTACTTCACCGATGCATAACGATGTCGGTTTTGTTCTTCAGGCTTTGTTTGCATAGCCGTACCCGCAGGGCCGCAACTCTTCATGTTTAGAGGTGGAATACGCATCGTTACAAATGCTGTTGAATTAATGGCTGCTGAAAGATAACGTTGCAGTTTTTACTACCTTCCAATGAGCAGATATGAGAAAAATGCTTTGGAGTTAACGAGGAGTCTAGCAGGTCGTTGGCAGCGCCGTGGTTTCGTAAGTTAAAACAAAACATCTCCAGTAATGTAGTTGAGTCTTTCTGCACTACACGTGTTCGAAACTCGGCTTGATCCAAGACCGCCTTACCAACCGATTTGCACTTAGCCACAAATTGCACCTTGCGCTTAGTAAACTTACATTTTTGTTTTCTTCTTGATCAATTCGATGATTGCAAATCGATGATGTAACCTCAAACTTGTATGCATATATATGAAGCATCGATGTTAAACGAAACCCTTATGGAATTACTTGACAGGTGATGGCTCGTTGACGCATCGAATGTGTGACTCCAGTCGTCGACGTCGACCGAGAGGCAAAAAATGAAGAAGCGTTGCACGCCGTAGTAAAGGTCGTCACTTTTTACATAGCCTTGGCTTTCGAAATCTGCCGCCCGTTGATTGACTATTCATATCGCATTTCCTGGCACTCGTTTTGAGCCGTTCTAGCTTTACAACGACTCTTCACGTTCGATGGATGACGCTCGTGAGCTGTCGGTCGAAATTCCAACCTGAGCATCAAACAGAATGACTTCATCGTAATTTCGTTTATGCGATGCTTTAGTGCTGATTTTTGCCGAGTTTGCATTCTCGGCATAGCGCAGTTCGGAGTAGGTACGATAGCATTACCTGATAGCACTGCCCCGTAGTTCACTGATAAATATAACGTTTTAAAAAATCGCTCTATACTTTTTCTTGTCACTTGTTGCGCAAATTTCCTGGTTAACGTATGAGTTAGATCGTCGAGGATCAACAGCAGAGGCAATCTTTGTTGACTTGTGGTCGGCATTTAATACTATTGCCACATGCGGTTGGTTCAGACGTCTAAAACACGCCGCTCGAGTTACCTGAGATCTGCTCCATTGGTTAGTTAGTAGACTAATTGTTGAAAGAGTCAACAGTTCATCAGTACTAGAAAGTGCCGTTCTTTTAATGTGCCAAATAGTTTAACTACGCTGATTGTATGGTACTGATCTTAGCCATCAAAACCGCTGTAGATTCCTCTAAGCGTAAAGAAACCCTTGAATCGAGTTCAACGGTCTGAAATTCATCGGTCATCAAGAGTTCTGAAATGTGCCATGAAATGCATCAAGTCAGGTTATTCGTTGTTAGCAGCAGAACTAAGAACAAATGTTGATCTCAAACGCTCACACTGATAAGTACCTGGGCGTGGAGGGGGGAGGCTCACGCAAATATGCAAAAAATCCTTATACCTCATGAGGTTGTTCAGATTATACGTTACTAGAAGAGTCGTAGCGAATTTCTCAGGTCCTAAGCTGTACTCATAAGTGAGATGAGGGTTCTGTTAAGCTATTACTCACATAAGCAGAAACACTTCTTTAGCACCAATTTAGGTTTTAGCGATAGAGTAAAGTGGGCGTCGCTTCCTAAGAGCCTTTTTTTACTATAAGCGACAATTTTGTTTCGACTATCTCCGTTTATTTGAATTCGTTGGTCGCACCTCAGCACATCTGTGTGTAAATGCGTAACCACTCGTGATTTGTTTATTATAGCGCACTATATTAGCATTCCTGGAGTCTGAACGTCAATAATCATTCGATCGTCTGTATATGTCACCGAGTAACTCCTACAAAGTAAGACTAATCTTATTGGAGGAGGCATGCCTCATTTTACATAACGATTAAGAGATTATATAAGGAGGCGGGAAAATCACACGAAAAATGGCGGGCGTTTTGTTTCCCACGCG